AAGATGATGCTAATTCTTTATAAAAAAATAAAAAATAAAAAAAATCCGGCCAAATGCTCTAGAATGCATTTGGACATGGAATCATGAAATTAATGAGGCCACGTAGTATGATTGCTTTGAGGCCAACTTAGTATAATGTGGTCCATATTTTTGAAGAGCTCTTTTGTGAAAATACATATTTCTCGGTCCCGAAATTATTTTTCTTTACAAGTTTAACTCTACTATGATAAATCTACTTACATGGTAATCTAATTAGCACATCGACGCCACTTTAAATATTTATAATACTATTTTATTAGAAAAAAATTAGACAAAAAAAACTTATAGTTTCCATCCTGACCGGGAAATAGAAAGTTTTTCCTCCCTCCTCTACAATGTCAAAAATACTCTTCCCTGCAAAAATTCACGGTTCCATCCAAACCCATGGTCATGCCACCAATTTAAGGTTTTGCAACCCATGGTCATTACAAATATCAGTTTTCAAAAATTCATGCAACTTAACTGCAAATTAAAGACGGGAAGTAAATTAAGTTTGATGTATTTGGCCGTCCAAAAATGAGTGGAAGAATCAATTAAAAAAAAAAAATTCCTTGGATTGTCCCGTGGTAGTGATGTGTTTAGTTTCCTGAATAGTTTTGAGTAGAAATCTGGGGGGTCGAGTCATGGTCCAAACTCCATTGGGAATTAAAGTGCCAAAGTGGTTCCCAGAACTCTCACCACTTTCTTCTTCAATTATTCAAATTAATTAATATTACCACTATTAGCGGTTTATGTCGATTTCCCCATAGTTTCTAATCACGGGTCCTGGTGTTCGCCACTAGCTATATCATCTCTCAAATCCTTTTTCATGTCAAAGCTTTTTCTGAATTTGTATTGTACATTTGGAATGCTCCTCCTGTTTGATTAACTAAGTTTCTAATGAATATATATAGTATAATAGTAACTCCCTTACAGATTCAAGTTATATGAGAGTTTAATACGTGTCATTGTTAGTTTTAATGACTTTTGGGAAAGAGGAGGAGACCATTCGTATGGACAGCTGGTTTCTTTTTGTGAAGCTTTCAGATGTTGTAATGGAGATTATTTTTATCTAGCTACTGGCTTCTTCATGGTTGAAAATAAGTTTATTTGATGTGTGTATAATGCAACACCATTATTATCGTAAAAATAAAAATATATTGTTCTAACATAATGAAGAAGTTTCCTAATCCAACAACAAACTTGAGCTAGTGGAATCTTGGTTCTGTAACTTGCCACCACCTTAGTCATCACAACTTAATACAGCGAACAATGCAGAGGAACAAGGAGACCAAGGAACTAATTTAAACCCCAATGTACACAGGCTCACTTCTTTTATTTTTCCTGTCTCAAAATAACCGTCATGTATAATTATATTAAAATGTGAAATCTTATTTTAGGTGGAAGGAGAATAGTATGATTGACTATTGATTTCATTCATGGTTTCGAGAGGGGGACGGAAGGTGGCTTTTCTCTGTTCTTTTTTCCTTTTCTTAACCTAAGGGAAATTGATTCGTGACATATCCGTCAAAATATAGGCCACTACTAAGAAGGTAATTGGTCTGACTGATTTAGCAAAAATCCCACTAAACCTGAAGTGCCTTACAATTATGTCGCATCAGAAATTCAACCAGGAGAGCCATAGCACAATAGTACATACATTTTGTTGAAAGGCAATTGAGTAGAACCCCAGTACTAATTACTTCAATCATTTCATGCCTCCATTGATTCCCACAAAAACGTCATTAAGAATCGTGAAAATTGACCAAAAATGGCAGACAAAATTAGGGTTTCCCACAAACCTGCATTCATACATTCTTAAAATATGTAAAAGAGAAAGGGAAATTAAAAGGGATTTAAAAAAAAAAATTTAAACAAAAATAAGTGATAGGACCGTGGAAGCAACATTTTACTTGAGTAAGATGGAATTATTAAGCAACTTGCTTTGAACAAGTTGTAGCCGACGTATAAACTCCAAAAATGAAGTTGTTTCTTATCATCAAAGTCAAAATAGGAATTTTGGGAAGAAGATAAAAACCACCCAGTTGGGAAAGATGTGTAACCTTCTTGCTTCGTCCAAGTTCAGCTTTTAATTCATGTAGTTGATTTAAATGGAATCCCACTTTGAAGGAAGTTCTCGAAATCTCAGTGTCGACTATCTAAATGAAAGGATTGCAGGCCATGTCAATTAATTGTCAAATTCTTAGTGTTGTTTCTCTTTTTTTACCTTCGCCTATTGAAAATATTTCTCAACTGGACAACAAGATACAGTTTAGTAGTAAGACGCCTCACCTGTTGACTGATAGGTCATAGGTTCGAGTCACATTGAGGTAAGTAGGGAACCACTATTGATCCCTTTAAAAAAAACAAAAAAAAAAAATACTTCTCAACTGTTGTATATGCTTCTTCAGTCTCAAATGTACTCATATGATCCTAGCATTTCTGCCTCTTTTATTACAATAAAAAGATGCGATTAATTACACTCACTCTAAACTTTAAAAAATGGCTTATTTTTAGTTGTGTCCTCGAATAAGCATTTCCAAAATGGGACTCTTATTTTCGAGTCAGATGATTACTACTTTATATTTTCTCCATCTTGAAATGATGATTTAATTTGAGATTTCATGTATATTTATTATTAATAAAATTTAAATGGGATAATAATTTTGAGATAGATTGAATATATATAATTAAAAATAAAGAGTTCTGAATTTCAAAAACAAAAAAGACAAATAGAAAAGATATTTCAGAACCCTTTCCAAACTAGATCTTCATCTCTAGGTGGATTATGTCATTTACTTTGCTCCATTTTTTTTCCCCTTCTTCCTTTTTTTTTTTTGTCCTGCTTCAAGCAAATAGCACTAGGGTTTGGACTAACATTGGCAGATTTTCGAATAAATTAAATTTGACAAAGAAAAAGGAAAGAGGGACAAGAAAAGGGAGACAAAACCCAGGAAGAAAGTTTCTGATGGAGAAAAAAGCCAAAGAAACAAAAAGGAAGGAGGACTAAATTTCATTTAGCCTTCATATATGAAGCTAAGCAAACTACCATCATGGTGTCATTTTCCCTGATAATTTGTTAACTAGGTCAAAATTTCTGGTTATATTAATTCAACTCGGATTTCCCTAGTTTTGATCATAGCAGCTTTACTCGACAACGACGACTTTATGGTGTTTTTCATGAACCCGCTGATGGTGCAACCTTTGAAAGAACTAAATTTAATTAGTTGTCCAATTCAATTTCTAATAAGCGAAACGCGAGTTGTATAAATTATATTAGGAACTTCATCGATCACAATCAATGGTCTTTTGATTTTTTGTGATGTTATTATGCGTCGGGATCAAGATTCCTGATGTATTAACAGTTTTGACAACGATTGAAAGGGACGAGAAATGAAAAATTACAAAAAAAAAAGAAGATGGATTTACATCTTTCTGTGTGCTTTAAAAATATCAGCCTTTTCTTTTCATTTTTCTGTTTAGGGGTAAAGAAAAACCATATCCACTGGTTAGAAGCCCTAATTCTTAAAGGTCCTTCGGTAGCTCAACGAGGCTTGATATTTATATATTTGCTCCATCATGGAAGCTAAATTATGAAATTGTTAATTAATTCATGAGGTAGAGTTACATATGCCATTAGACATATAGAGAGGTTGGCAAAGCTAAGAGCATATCTTTTCGGAAGTCAATTTTATAAGAGATTATCTGATTTTGTTAGCAACAGTTGCTTTGGCAGCTAATCACCATCTTTCTAATTTTATCTTCTAAAGTAAGTTTGGAATATGATGCAATTAGTTGTTGTCTAAATATTCGTTAAATGTGGTTGTTTTATGTTTAGGATTTGCCAAACACGGATTAAAGATTAAACTAATTACGAAAAGAGAAATTTAGAATACGTGTGTCGTGTAATTAGATATCGGAATCAAAAATCTGCAAATTGTACTGGAGTCAGGGGCCTTATTGAATTGATCTTAGGCTCTTTGCAAACCAAATCATTTTCCAGAGTCCAGAGAGAAAAGCTAAAAAAATGTGTAAACATGTTTCATTCTCATGCTCTTGTGGATTCCTACTTAATGGTCCTGAGATGAAAGGACCTTGGGCCCATTTTAACTCATTTCCTTGGAGGCCAAGGCATGCTATTTACTTGGTCGTGACGGATTTGTCCAACGACTCATTTTAGAGTCAAATTGAAAGACTCATTGTCCAACGACTCATTACCAGCAAAACTTTCTAAGTGATTTTTTAACAAAAAGTGTTACAAAAATATTATATGTTTATTACTATTCCTTTCGTCAGGAAAGGATTATGTTAGTTTGATGATTTTTTAGTCTGAATTCAAATTTTACAAAGAAACTTATTTTTTGTGTACGATTCACAATGTTTCAATCAAAAACTTTTGCCTCCTTCAACACCATTAAATTAACACAGTATGCATGGAAATTTCCACGCTCCGCTATTGCACTTTGCATATAGTTTTTCACCAGGATATTACCATTTAATTGAATTTGTGTTTACCAAAGAGAATATTGTCGAATCCATTTACTTCAATTAATACTCTTTTATTGGTTCCCAGGGGAGACAAAGTATCTATTGTAATGACAGAGGTTGAAATAAGCCTCTTCCCTTAAAAAATAAAAAATAAAAAATAATTCAACATCGAATTTTGACATTTGTAATGAAAAATTAAAATTTTAAAACTTCGTGTGGACTATTTTCTTTGGGAGATAGATAATAGAATATAATTTTAATTACATTCTCAAAGAATTTTATATAAATAATTAATGTATTTTTAACCTGGACTTTATCACACAGTATTCAACTAGCCCCGAAATAAGCATATTTCGGTTGGAGTGAATTTCCTACTCCTTTTGCTGGTAGAACACATCTTTGAATTTTTTTTTTCAAAAAAAAAAAAAAAAAAATTACGAATCCTTATTTTGTTAGGGCTGAATTTCCTACTCGCGCAGGACACGTTTTCAATATGAAGTACCATATTTTTCTAGAACTCTTTTTGCTAGCAGGACACGGTTTTCAATAAGGGACCGACTCTTTTTTCCTTCCTTTTCCCCTTTAGGTCGGTTCCGCTTTGTTCGATCGCACCGCTTTGTTACGCTCTATATAAGATGCTAATTGTCATGAACATATCATCATCATCATCGATAAAATTTACAAAGCTTTTGAGAAAAATTATTCCGAGATTTTTTTAATGCTAGGTGCTGCGACAACAAAAACAAGAGAAGAAGGATCACGGTTTGACACTGGTCGTTACGATGAGCAAATCCACGATTTGCTTTCCGGCGACGAAACCGGCGATTTCTTCACCTCATACGATGAGGTCTACGAAAGCTTCGACTCCATGGGACTGGAGGAGAATCTCTTAAGAGGGATTTACGCTTACGGGTTGGAAAAACCCTCGGCTATTCAACAAAGAGGCATCGTTCCTTTTTGCAAAGGCCTCGATGTGATCCAACAGGCTCAATCCGGAACCGGCAAAACCGCCACTTTCTGTACCGGGATCCTCCAGCGGCTCGACGTCAGGTTGGTCGAATGCCAGGCTCTGGTATTGGCCCCAACCCGCGAGCTCGCGCAACAGATCCAGGCGGTCATGGCGGATATCGGGCGATACCTCGGCTTTAAGGTGCACGCCTGTGTTGGCGGGACCAGCACCCGGGAGGACGATCGGATCCTGGCCGCCGGGGTCCACGTCGTGGTCGGAACCCCAGGGCGCGTGTTCCACATGCTCCAGAAGAAATCGCTCCGCGCTGATTATCTCAAGATGTTCGTGCTGGACGAGGCGGATGAGATGCTCTCTAAGGGTTTCAAGGATCAGATCTACGAAATCTTTATGAAACTCCCGAAAGAAATCCAGGTCGGAGTTTTCTCCGCCACAATGCCGCCGGAAGCCCTAGATTTGACCAAGAAATTCACGAACAAACCGGTTAGGATACTGGTGAAGCGCGACGCGCTCACGCTGGAAGGGATAAGGCAGTTTTACGTGGACGTTAGTAAGGAAGATTGGAAGCTGGATACGCTGTGTGATTTGTATGAAACCTTAGCTATCACTCAGAGCGTGATCTTTGCCAGCACGCGTCGTAAGGTCGATTGGCTTGCCGACAAGCTGCGAGGCATGGATCATACGGTCTCCGCCACGCATGGTGACATGGACCAGAACACGAGGGACGTGATCATGCAGGAGTTCCGGTCGGGTTCATCGCGGGTTTTGATCACCACGGACCTCATGGCTCGTGGCATTGATGTCCAGCAGGTTTCCCTAGTCGTCAATTATGATCTCCCTACTCAGCCTGAGAATTATCTACATAGGATTGGCCGGAGTGGAAGGTTTGGGAGGAAAGGAGTGGCCATTAACTTTGTGACCAAGGAGGATGAAAGGTTGCTTTATGATATTCAGAGGTTCTACAATGTGGCGATTGACGAGCTGCCTGCAAATGTTACTGAACTCCTCTAAACAAGTGTCTTTTTTGAGTGATTTCAAATGAGTGAGTTGTGGCACAAGTTTTGCATTGTTTTTTTTTTAATTCTCCAAACAGCTCTTGTACGGCTGCTTAATGTTGTCGTTTGACGCTGTAGTGTTCTAGTTATTGAAGGTTTTTGTGCTTTTGTTGTTTTTGTGAAATTTGAGATTCTGAATAAAGAGACTCCTTGCTTTCAAAGTGTGGTGCGAATTTTATTTTTATTTATGATGAGGAGATTACTTAGACATTGGAAATCATGTTATTGTAACACCAAACAGATCTTATGATTACTAAAATATTACTAATAAAAAATCTCGTTGAGAAGCCATATGGACTAATCGTCTGTGCAATAAAAGCATGGCGTTTAATGGCGAAGTCTAATGCATAATTTTTTGAATAAAGTCTAATGCATATTGCTAGTCTGAGAGTGTCTAAACCGGATTCATTGACGAGAATTGTAGCTTATTATTATTATTTTGATACAATAAGATAATGAATTAAAATCTAAAGTACGATATGACAAGAGTATCCTATTCAATTACATCATACTCAAATCATGATTTTGTGCCACAGTTTTATAACTAGTCCAAGGTTATTAAAGATACAGCGAAATTTGCTATTTATGGCCGACATTTATCGAGTCATATAGTTGGAGTTCGTCATCACCGTTCAACTAGACGTCTAACATTTTATTTTATTATAATTTGACGTTAGTTTTTGGGGCCAATTCCCAGGGTACAAGCCTTTCGACGTGCCTTACTGCCTTGCTAAGAAACCTGGGTTTGATTGCCCTGCGAGAGGTTTTACTTTTACTACCTTTATTTTTTTTTGCTTTCTTCTCAGTTCTACCAAAATCTTTAACATAATTTTCCAAGTCATTAAGCATACTGATTTCTCGAACGCCCCTTCAGATCAGTTAAATCCATCATCGCCATCTTGATCGATCATTCGATTATTAATTTAAGAAACATGAGAAGGTTTTAGCGGAATCGAAGGTTTTAGATGTACTTTGCATCTGAGGAAGGAAAACTTATTACTAACTCCGTTTTGAGAAAATAGTTTACACTCGGTTTCAAGTTTAGTACAAATCTTAAAATTCAATATAAACTAATTTATTTTTTTAAAAAAATATCATATTAAGATTAATTCTTCCCTTGGATACAATGTAAGAAGCAAAATTCTAGATTATGGCATTAGAGCATATTTTTTGGTTAGATCTGCCGACAAGGTCATATTAAGATCAATTCTAAACGAGCACATGCTACAGTTAGACTAATTTTCTTGTGAGCCGGTAGGTCAGTTTCAAAAAACACAAGCATACACTCTTCTTCTTTAATCATATGGAAGGCACAAATAATTGATGTTTCTTTTATAATTATCTATATTGTGAATGTCAAAAAATTAGTAAAGTTGTATAGGAATTCTTTGTATAGAGATAATATTTATTAGATATTATCACTAGTTAAATGTTATCTCTATATGCTCTTATCTCTGTATCTGCTATGCCTATGAAAGGAGAGCAGTCTCTGCAGAAATAATACACAAATCATTCTCTCTTTCTCCCTCTCTATTGTTCTCTCTCCCTACTTGTTCTTTCTCTCAGTTTCATAACTTTATTCTTCACTTTATATTTATAACACGTTATCAGCACGAGTCTCTATCTCTTGCTAGTTCCTATTGGGTAAGTGTTGTCAATTGTTTTTGTCTCTTTTATCAAGATGTCTAACCTTGCAAAACTTGAATTTGTCCCTCTTGACATATCCGGGAAGAACTACTTGTCCTGAGTTCTTGATGCTGAGATCCATCTCACTTCAAATGGCTTAGAAGTAGCAATTAAAGCTGGAAACAACGCCACAAATCAGGAGAAAGCCAAAGCCCTGATTTTTCTCCGTCACCCACCTTCATGAAGATCTGAAAGCAGAGTACTTGACGGTAAAAGATCCATATACTTAATGGACAAGTTTGAATGAAAGGTAAGACCATCAGAAAACTGTTATTCTCCCAAGTGCTCGTTATGAGTAGACGCATTTGCGTTTGCAAGATTTTAAATCTGTTAGTGAATATAATTCAGCTATGTTTCGAATCACTTCTCTATTGAAATTATGTAGTGAAAAGATCTCTGATGTGGAGATGCTAAAGAAAACATATACCACTTTTCACGCATCTAATGTGCTCCTACAACAGCAATATCGTGAAAAGGGATATAAAAAGTATTCAAAATTGATTTCTGTCCTTCTTCTTGCTGAACAAAACAATGAGCTCTTACTGAAAAATCATGAGGCCCGTCCAACAGGTGCTACTCCATTTCTTGAAGCAAATGCGATAGCAGTGCATCCTAATAAAGGACAAGCTCGAGGTTGTGGTCATAGCCGGAGCCGTGGTCATAATCAAAGCCGTCATAACACCTGTGGTGGTCATAACAAGAATAAAACCCACCAGAAGTTGGGAGTCAATGATGATAAGAATGGAAAGAACAAGGAAGGTGGTGACCAATGCTTTCGATGTGGCATGACGAATCATTGGTCGGGTATCTGTCGTACGCCAAAACATCTTGCATATCTCTATCAGGAATCACTGAAGAAAGCAGAAAAGAAGATAGAGACAAATTTCACCCAGAATGATGTTGTTGATGTTAACCATGGTTTTGTTGACAATGGTTTTACTGAATTTACTACTTTAGATGTTGCTGATTTCTTTGTCAATCACCCTGAGGGTGAAGTCAATGCTGAAAATGTCTTTCAGGGTTATGTTTTTTCCCTTAGAGATAGGTTCTATATTTTGAATTTGATGTAATGAATTTTAGTTTCATTTGATGAATTTCAATAAAACATTTCTTATTTATGTTTATTTTATTATCCATTACTTTACTTTTGTATTAAATAAAGGAAAAATATTCTTATTTGGAATCTTTTACTTTTGAAGATAATGGATGTTGCAATCAGCAATGGCAAAGAAATATGTCTAGCAGACAGTGCAACAACACATTCAATACTCAAAGAGAGAAAATACTTTTCTCGTATAGTGTTGAAAAAATCTCATGTTAGTACAATATCCGGGAGTACAAAATTAATTGAAGGCTCCGGAAGAGCAAATATAATACTACCTGGAGGCACTAAATTTTGCATTAATGATGCATTATATTCCCCAAAGTCTCAACGAAATTTGTTAAGTTTTAAAGATATTCGCCGAAATGGATATCACATAGAGACTTGTTGTGAAGGTAACATTGAGTACTTGTATATTACGAGTAATATTGTTGGGAATAAAAATATCTTAGAAAAATTGCCTTTATATTCCTCCGGATTATATTACACATATATTACTACAATTGAAAATTATGCAACGTAAACCAGTACTAATCATAATGAATTTATTATTTAGCATGACCGGTTGGGCCATCCCGGTTCTATTATGATGCGAAGAATTTTAGAGAATTCTTATGGTCATTCTTTAAAGAGCTAGAAGATTCTTCAAACTAAAGAATTCTCTTGTGCTGCTTGTTCTCAAGGAAAATTAATTATAAGGCTATTACCAATGAAAATTCGTACCGAATTTCTTCAATTCTTAGAATGTATACATGGTGATATTTGTGGGCCTATTCACCCATCTTGTGGGCCATTTTGCTATTTTATTGTTTTAATTGATGCATCAATGAGATGGTCACATGTATCTTTATTATCAACTTGCAACCTGGCGTTTGCAAAATTACTTGGAGAGTTGATTTGGTTACGAGCACATTTCTCAAATAATCCTATTAAAACAATACGTTTAGATAATGCTGGTGAATACACATCCCAGTCTTTTAATGATTATTGTTTGTCAATTGGGATTAAAGTTGAATATCTTGTAGCTCATGTTCATACACAAAACGGTCTGGCAGAATCGTTTATAAAGCGCATCCAGTTGATAGCAGGGCCTTTACTTATGAGAACTAAACTCCCAATATCTGCTTGGGGGCATGTTGTGCTACATGCCGCAGTACTAATTCGTATCAGGCCAACAAATTATCATGAATACTCTCCCAACAATTGGTTTTTGGTCATGGACCAAACATTTCCCATCTTAGAATTTTTGGTTGTGCGGTATATGTTCCTATTGCTCCACCACAATGCACAAAGATGGGACCTCAAAGGAGGTTGGGAATATATATTGGATATCAATCTCCATCAATCATAAAATTTCTTGAGCCAAAAACTGGAGATTTATTTACGGCTCGTTTTGATGAGTAAGTTTTTCCAATATTAAGGGGGAGAAAGTAAACAGTTGGTTAAAAATATTAGTTAGAATGAATTGTCATTATCTTATCTTAATCTTCATATAAGGCAATGTGAACTAGAAGTTCAAAAGATAATTCATTTGCAACAATTAGCAAATCAATTGCTAGATACTTTTACTGACTTAAAACATGTGACTAAATCACATATACCAGCTATTAATGCTCCTGCCCGAATTGATGTCCTTGAAACATAAATTAAGGGCACAACAGAAATGTGATAGACCTATCGGTTCTAAAGATAAAAATTCTCGTAAACGAAAAGGGGCAAATACTCAAGATGGCGAATTCGAGGTTATTAAGTTTCCTGAAGAATCTTTGCAAATAAAAAATCCCGACATAACAGAAAATCGACTTCCGGAAGAAGTTCAGGTACCTGAAAGTTTTGAGATCTCAATTAATTATATTATGACGGAACAAAAGTGGAACCGATATACAACAAAAGTCGACGATAAATTTACCTATGCTGCAGTAGTTAACATTATAAATGAAAATGAGGATCAAGAACCAAGGTCTGTAGATGAGTGCAGACGAAGAAATGATTGGCCAAAATAGAAAGACGCTATTCAATCATAATTAAATTCATTGGCAAAACGTAAAGTCTTTGGACCAATAATGCGCACACCTAAAGATGTGCAACCGATAGGATTCAAATGGGTATTTGTGCGAAAAAGAAATGAGAAAAATGAAATCAAGCGTTATAAAGCACGTCTCGTCGCACAAGGTTTTTCTCAGCGACCGGGTATTGATTATGAGGAAACATATTTTTTGGTTGTGGATGCAACAACGTTTCGCTATTTGTTAAGTCTGGCAACAAGTGAAAGATTAGAAATGCGTCTCATGGATGTTGTGACTGCCTATCTATATAGGTCACTTGATAACGAAATTTACATGAAAATCCCTGAAGGTTTTCAGATCCCTGAAGGATTTGGTTCTCGAGAGCTTTATTCAATTAAATTGTGTAAATCATTGTATGGCTTAAAGCAAGCCGAACGAATGTGGT